GTGCCAAATACATTTAATTCATTAGTCTCTCGTGTTTATATTCACATGCGCATGCGTGCACACGCACACGCGCGCACGCGCACACACTACTTTCCATGCCATAGTAACCTGATGTTGATATGCACCCAGGCATTTACACAGTCTCTTGCACACACCCCCTCCCCTTTCATTCAGCTGTGCCAAATACATTTAATTCATTAGTCTCTCGTGTTTATATTCACATGCGCATGCGTGCACACGCACACGCGCGCACGCGCACACACTACTTTCCATGCCATAGTAACCTGATGTTGATATGCACCCAGGCATTTACACAGTCTCTTGCACACACACCCTCCCCTTTCATTCAGCTGTGCCAAATACATTTAATTCATTAGTCTCTCGTGTTTATATTCACATACATGTGCATGTGCACACACACACACACAATACCCATATGCAGATTCTCTCTTGCACACTCCCTATGATATTTTTACACACTTGAGACAAGGTCTTGCTCATATACACACATATATGCAGACGTGCATACACACAGTGGAAGTACTGGAAAAATGTTGCCAGTCCCAGCACCCTCAGCAAATGGGTTGGGGGTGCCATTCAGCCCTGTGGATGGCAGATAATGTGCCACTCTACTAAAAATACAGCTTGAGGCTGCCTGGGTGCCCAGAGAGAGGGGGTAAGCATGCGCGCGTGTGTGCAGAAGGGTTAATTAACAGCTCAAAGGGTTGAGCTGCTATTCATCCATCAAACCTCACAAGCAATAAATGACAATAACTAAAACACCAGCAAATGAAGCCTTACATAGAGAATTAAATTAAGTTCCCAGATACAGCACTGACCTGAGATAATAGCCATTCCACAGCAGGAGCCCATGACTGCTCCACTTACCGCGGGAAATAATGACTTTGGGGTTGCGGCTTCCTCGTGGTGTTAGTGATGGCCGCCCCGGGAGGGGATGCAGAACACATCAGGGTCACGCTCTGCATCGGGTCAGGCCTGCCGGTGTCAGTCTATCAACTCTAAAGGAGTTGCTCTGGACTGACACCGGCAGGGCTGAGAGCAGAAGTTGGACCCGATGTGTCATGGGAAGGGCTGCTGGGTTTGTCCACGGGGCAAACACAGCGGTGATGGCAGCTCAGGCGGACAGGCCGGAGCAAGCTTTAGACCCAATCTGGCCAGCCATCTGAGGATCTGGGCAACATAGGATATGGCAGCCCGTGCGGGGTTATGCACTGCTGCAACAGCGCATTACCCTGCAGCACAGACCTCCCCATGGGCCTCAGAGGGTAGAGAGGCCGGGTGAGGTAAGATGAAGCTTTGCCAATGCCCTTCCCCTCTGGCTGTTGGACCAGGGAGACCACGGACAACAGGAATCTGGGGAGATCTGATTTTCCTGTCGTGGTGTAAATCAGGAGACCAAAGTGAATGGAGCTGCATTGGGGCAAGGGCTTTATTTGGCTCCATGCAAGTCAACAGCAATCTTTCCACGGACTTCAAAAAGGGCTGGACTGGGTCCAATTTGGGGGTTCAAATTTAGCGGGTGAGTTCACACCCCGCTGTCATGGCCTGGTGCTGTCCCCAGCTCATGAACCCAATCCCCTCCCCTCCCCCCAGCACAGTAAAAGGCTACCGAGAAGCGAAAGGTTTATTGGGAGAAAGTGTTAATACTAACGACCTGCGTACTGCTGCACTCCAGCGTAGGCTTGTTGCAAAGGGTCGGCTGCAGTGGGGCTCTGTGCTGTGGAGACACAAGAGAGAAAGGAAATAAAGGCATTGAAATAGCACATTCCCACTCTTCCCTGGGGTGGGCCGGGTGAGGAGCAGATGAACGTGGAGACTGAATTTCACAGAACAGGTGCAGCTCATGCACCTCTCATGGCAAACCCACTCACTTCACTTACCCAGGGTGGGTTTGCTCAGCTCTATCCAAGCCTTTTAAAAGTGCCCGGAGCTGCATTGCTTGCATTTGTATAAATGGCAAAATGCATGTCAGCACTGAGAAAATGGCAGAGGCACGGTTTTGAACTAAAACACACTGAAAGTGTTTTAGTGCAAAAGTGCATCGCTGCCATTTTGTCAGCTTTGCCGTGCATTTTGTCATTTATAGTGATGTATGCGTGGCAGCGCCGGGCACCTCAGCTCACGTGCAGAGCAGGCTCGATTAATCACCCCATCCATTGGAGGAGATAAATGTATGTGTATAGATTCCCAGTGCTTTTATCTGGATAGAGGCGGTGTTGTGCCTGTTTGCTCTAATGCAAAGCTCCACTCCCAACTGGAGCCAGGTCGAGAAGGATGCCTAGGACAAACCCTTCGACACTCTTCTCGGAAACCCCTACCTCTGGAAGGGGAGAGGTTTGCAAACACAGAAAGAAAGACATCGAGAGAGAAGGAGAGAATGAAAAAAAAACAACTGAATGCACAAATGAGCAAAAGAAAGAGAAAATAAAGCAAGGTGGTTATTCAGGAGACACAAGCCTATCCTGCTACTGTAATGCACCCTCAAGGTAAGAAGCAGAGGAGGAACAGGTGAACTGCACCTGGAGTGATGTAAGGGGCATGCCCCTCATCAGCTTCATGCCATGCCCCCCCACCCATGGGAGATGCTGCTTCTATGGGAGAGGTGGCAGCAGCCAAAGGTTTTCACGTAGCGGGCTCTGGGAGAAGTGACCCTCCTGTTCCCCCTGCTAGCCAGTGGCTGCATTAGGTCCCCGGCTGCTGGCTGTGCTGACACTTTTCCCAACGGCATTGGCATATCCCATGAGGGGAGGGAAGGCATAAGGCTGAAGAGGGGAGTGGGACTACTGGGACATGACCCTCATGAGCTCCCAGCTGCCCTACTAGTTGCAAGCAACTCTTGCCCCTGCTGCACCTGGACCACAACCCCGACCCTGCCCTGAGCGCTGCTGATTATCATTGCCAACGGCCGTGGATGTGGTGGCATGGACTCCTTGGGGGCCTCCATCCTGGCATCCCCTTTGGGTCAGAGCCCCACTCATTCAGCACTGGTTTTGCAATACAGACATTGCGAGTGGAATAACTGGGATGTGAATCAAGGTGACGATCCTCTTTATTTTTTCTTCCATACAATGAATGCACCAGGGAGAGGAAAATGCAGGTGCAAAATGATAGAAATAGCCCAGACATGGGGCAGAAGCAGGTTTTGTTTTTCCTTAGAAAGGTAGGTAGTAGTGATTGACCCAAGTCTAGATGCTTGGGCCTAAACTCACCCACAAATTGGAGGCAAATTGGATGAGGGGGTGCAAAGCACCCTGTTCAAGTTTGCTGATGACACTAAGATGTGGGGGGATGTGGGCACAATAGAGGGGAGCAACAGGCTACAGTTGGACCTAGATAGGTTACAAGGATGGGCGGAGGAGAACAGGATGGGGTTTAACACGGACAAGTGTAAGGTGATGCACCTGGGGAGGAACAATCGGCACCACACATACAGGCTGGGGAACTCCCCTCTTGTCAGCACGGAGGTGGAAAAGGATCTGGGAGTCATTATTGACTCCAAGATGAACATGAGTCGGCAATGTGGGGAGGCGGCTAGGAAGGCCAACTGCACCTTGTCGTGCATCCACAGATGCATCTCGAGCAGGTCCAAGGAGGTGATCCTCCCCCTCTATGCGGCACTGGTCAGGCCGCAGCTGGAGTACTGCGTCCAGTTCTGGGCGCCGCACTTTAAGAGGGATGTGGACAGCATCGAGAGGGTCCAGAGGAGGGCCACTCGTATGATCAAGGGACAGCAGGGTAGGTCCTATGAGGAAAGGTTGCGGGACCTGAACCTGTTCAGCCTTCAAAAGAGAAGGCTGAGGGGGGATCTTGTGGCCTGTTATAAACTGGTTAGGGGGGATCAGCAGGCGCTGGGGGAGTCCCTGTTCCCCCGAGCGCCGCAAGGAGTGACCAGGAACAACGGTCACAAGCTGGCGGAGGGAAGGTTTAAGTTGGACATCAGGAGGCGCTACTTCACGGTCAGGGCGGCTAGGGTCTGGAACCAGCTTCCAAGTGAGGTGGTGCAGGCTCCCACCCTGGGGGTTTTTAAGAGGAGGTTGGATGACCACCTTACTGGGGTTGTTTGACCCCAGTGCTCTTCCTGCCATGGCAGGGGGTCGGACTAGGTGATCTGCTCAGGTCCCTTCCGACCCTAGAAACTATGAAACTATGAAACTATAATCTGGAACCCAGCTTCAGAGCTTGTGCCAGGGTGGTTTTTATTCTGAATAGTTTGTGTCATGGGAGCCCTTAGGAGCTCCAGCTCTGGACCAACACCTCCATACAGCGGTAGGTGCTGGACAATCCTCGAAGAGAAGGACTGTCCTGGTGCTAAGATGCTTGCAACCTAAGTCTAAGTCTAAACCTCTCCATCTGTGGAGGTTTTGAAGCCCCGGGTAGACAAAGCCCAGGCTGGGATGATGTAGTTGGGGCTGGTTCTGCTTGGAGCAGGGGGCAGGACTGGATGCGTTCTCCTGAGGTCCCCTCCCACCCTAAATTTTCTACGGTGCTGTGAGAGACAACAATTGAAGACAGACAGACGGTGGAGCAGAAGGAAACTATCACTCGTTTCCCCTCAACACCATTTTAAAAGCATTGCTTTGCTCTGTGCTCAAACGCAGCCACCCCCTTGGCTGAATACAGCAGCTGCTCTAACGGTGCCGCTCCATAGCTTTGGGAGAAGAAGCAGTAAATCGGTGTCTGAGGCACCCAAGCCCTTCCTTGCTTTTAAAGTGCATCTTCTCTCCATAAAAATATTTTAAAAATAAAATATAAAAAATATTTGAATAGTGGCTATAAAGTGTCACTGATTAGTTTTCTTGCACACAGCCCAGCCTCTGGCTCCTTTACTATTCACTCCATCCAGGACGAGCGCACACCAACTGCAGACGCTTCCTCAGCCCGATGGAGGGCGTTTGTGTCTGAAAGCTTGCAAAGATTTTTTTTCCCAACTATTTGAGTTGGTCTCATAAAAGATATCAAATTTACCCAAAGAACATTTCTATATTCTCTCTATACAAACTTCCTAAAACTGTTTATTTTTGTGAAACTTTGAAGTCTTGTGCCAGCACAGCTAAAGCTGGTGAAGATGTTCCCCCCCCACCTCCCTTCCCCTCTGGTTTGTTAAAAAAAAAAAAGGATTGAATAAGCTCTTTCTTTATCTGCAGCAATAAAATATTTAAAGCAAAGCTTGGCTGCACCTTCAGTCCAAGTGTCACCTTGGCCCTAATATTTCACTTCTTGTTATGAGTTTAATTTGTATTTATTAGTACTGCACTGTTCTACATTTATGTAGTCCCCCAGGCTTTGTACTTTTAAGAGGATCCCTTAGGGAGCTGCCACTTGCTCCCCCTCCTCTTCACCTCCCTTCTCTCTCCGGGAAAGGAGGTGTGACTCGAGGCAAGGGCTCAGATGGTCAACGCGAAGGTCTAGAAAGAAAGTCTGGTTGCCCTTGGTGAGCCCAGGAGGAGACAGGGAAAGTCTGATAAGGAGTGGCGAGGTCTGGCAAATACACCTGAAGGGGTGTTATAAACAGAGGATAGACCACTGCCCATGGCCAACGGGACTGAACAAAAAAGGATGGTTTTAAATGGCAACTAGGGACATTTAGGTTGGATATTAGGAAAAATTTTGAACTACAAGGACGGTGAAGCACTGGAAGAAACAGCTGTAGCGTCTCCATTCGTTTTAGGAAAAGGTTTACATGGTACAAACAGGGATGATCCTGCCTTGAGCAGGGGGGTTGAACTAGATTAATTAAAATACACTACAAAACATTCCCCTCCCATAACTCTACCCTGCCCCCCCCCCACCATTTTCAACCCTAGAAGGGAAACATTCAACTAAAACTTTTTTTTTTTACTGCACAAGGCTTTTTTTTTGCAGATCTTAAGATACAGACTGGAAGGGATGATCTCATGTGGTCTTTTCCAGCCGTGAACATCTGTGAGTGAGGGGAGGAGGTGGAAGGAAAGGCTACCACGATGTCAAAGAGATGTCAGGAAGGACCCAAGCACGAAGCAGATTGGCCCACATGGGATGGCTGGAGAAAGACACCAGCAGCACAGAATGGACCCCACAAACCCAGGACCTGGTGCTTGACTGGGCAGTCTTAATGAGAAAGGAGGTACTCATGTGCCTGAGCAATGGTGGGAATTTCTGCAACAAAACCTTGCAGCCTGGAACAGAGGGAAACAGCTTACAATGTTCGGCAGGACATGCACGCATCTAAGAGCACGGGCAGATAAATGCACACCCTGCGTGATACGTATTTGTACGTGGATGCAAATTGCACTGGGATCAGGAGTGGACAGACATGCAGCGGTCTCAGAGGAGCTGCGTGCAGGAGGTGGCTGCTACTCAGTGTCACTAGTAGACTTCTCTTTGTCTTTATTAGCACATGGTGACCCCACAATAAACATTGGCAGACTTGCAAGGGTAGAGTTTTACCACTGATTCATGTGTAAGTCACTAGATGGGGGAGACTTTCCCCAAGTTTAAAGGTTTGTGTCATCTGTCCCCTACTTCTTTTTTTTTTTACATTAGTGACAGAGGCATAATCATCATCTGTCCCGATACCCAATGACCTTCCACTGCTGGTACCAGGATACCTCCTAATTATTTAAACACAGACTTGACAAGAGCTATTTTTCTCCTTTCCTTCCCACAGAATAGGAGAAGAAGTCTGCCTAATTAATAGGCTTTTCATTTGTGTACGTGCCCATATGTATGCATGTGGGT